TTCTATCAATTTTAATATGTTATTATTTTACCCAATTTCATAGGGTTATATCTGCTAATCTGTGCAACTCATTTGAGGACAATATGCAACATAAAAACTCCTATTGAATTCCTATCATTTTGTTTAATGAAATTCTGTATCATTTCTAATATTTTCAGTATCATTTTTTATCCTCTTTAAAAATTAAAAACTGAAAAACATGTTATAAGGTTTACTGTATGCCTGACAATTTTAACAAGCATTTAATTCATTTAAATTATACTAGAAACATATGACAGAGCCAGAACTACAACACTCATTATTACAGAAAAAAATAGTCATAGAATAAAGAGGTTAATACCTTTTTTATTATATTACCACAGACAAAAGGTCATTATTACAGAGCAAAAAAATAATTATAGAATAAAGAATTTAATAACATTCACCTCTATGGCTGGTCAGATAGCTCAGAGGATTAAAGCAACTGCTTAGGTAAAGGCAGGTACCGGGATTCAATCCCTGGCATTCTGTGCTGGTCCCCCCAGGGGCACACTGAGATGACAATTGAGACTGATCGTGGTGGTGTGCACCTGTAATTTCAGTGCTGTGAGTCTCAAAAAAAGGAAGATCACTATAAGTCCAATTGGTGTAGTGTGACCCGCTAGACCCTGTATTAAATACATTTTGTAAAATCCCCAAAAGTCACAATAAACCAAACAAACAATAGAAAGTTTGAGAGTATCTCCATACTACCTCCTTTGAATTAATGTATCACTATTTCATGTCAGTTCATATTTTTTTTACCTGCTGTATAGACCTAGAGTCATAGCAAAGTGACCGCATAAGCCTTAAGCAGGCTAGTCAAGAGAAAGTCACACACATAAATGTATCAGACCAGATTTGGAGGTAAGGCTAAAGATAAGACAAGGGACAGAACAGATATAAAAAATCAGATAGAAAGTCACTCTGGACCCAAACATTCCCTTAGCACTAGTAAGCTACTACTATAATTCCTCACAGAAGTCAAAGAAAAACTAGGTACATTTCTGTTTCCTCCAAATGTTTCCTTTTATTGATAATTTCAAATGTAATGCACATGCATTTCAAGATTTATAAAAAACTGAGAGTTTATAATTCTCATTATTTCTGCCGTTATAGGTTTTCCAAGGAAAAGTAGCCATGATTCAATAACGAACTGAGGACACAAGTGAAACATATGCAAGCATTGCCCCAAATTTAAGATAAGATCATCTGCTAAGAAACATCTGCATAATTAATTTATAGTGCAGATTTACATAGAGAACAATCATGCTGCATTAAATTGCTAGAGCTACGCCTTAAGAATGTACAATGATTCTGACAGTACAAAAAACTTTCATAAGAATATGATCAGTGAATCAATCTGAGTGGGATTACTTTTATAATACTAAACAGCTGAGTGTAAATCCTTTCTTTAAAGATCTGTCTACCACCAACGTCATATTGGTATATGCACTCTTCACTTGGCCTAGAATCTTAGGTATGATATGCTGTTCTACAATATTCACAAGACAGCAATTTGGTTTTCTGATTGTTTCTCCATTGAAATCAGTTTTCCACCCAGAGTTTTTTCATAGCATTTTTCATCTCTGCATTTCTAAGAGTGTAGATAAGAGGGTTTAACATAGGCGTTATCATGGTATAAAACACAGCCACAGCTTTATCAATGGAGAAAGTGCCCACTGGGCGCAGGTACACAAATATGCAGGGTATGAAAAATATGATGACCACGGTGATGTGAGAGGCACAGGTGGACATGGCTTTACGCTTGCTCTCCAAGCTGTGAGACTTCAAACTGTACAGGATAATCACATAAGAGACCATTAGGAGGAGGAAGTTCAACAGGCAAATGAAGCCACTGTTGGCAGCAACAAAGAGACCAAGAATGTGGGTGTCGATGCAGACGAGTTTCAACAAAGGGTTCAAGTCACACATAAAATGATCTATGACATTGGGGCCACAGAAGGGCAGCCAGATTGTAAAGAAAATCTGAATGGCAGCATGAACAAAGCCCCCAGCCCAAGCCACTACAACAAGGAGGCTGCACACCTGTCGGTTCATGATGATTGCATAGTGCAGGGGTCTACAAATGGCCACATAGCGATCATAAGCCATCACTGTGAGAAGAATGATTTCAGCAGCACCAAAAAGATGCTCAGCAAAGACCTGAGTCATGCACTCACTAAAAGAGATGGTTTTCCTCACAGACAGGGAGTCAGCCAGCATCTTAGGAGTCATGGATGAAGAACAACAAATATCTAAAAGTGACAAAAAGGACAGAAAGAAGTACATGGGGGATCCTAGGGCCCTGCTGGTGATGATGGTGATCATGATGAGTGAGTTGCCCACCAAGGTGACCAGGTAAACAATTAAAAACACAACAAATGAAATTTTCTGCAGCTCCATGTTTTGGGTCAACCCCAACAAGATGAACTCAGTCACGTTTTGCATCCTCAATGTCAAGGCAGTTTATGAGAGGGATGATTATAATTTTTTGAAAGTTATCTCCATTTTGAAAAGGAATTTCCTTGAATGAATAAGTATATCTTTCGTATTTTTTTCATTGTTTTCTAAAAGTCAAGACAAGCAGAAAAAACGTTTTAAATTTTTGTTTTGGACAAAGACTGAGTATGTATTCCAGGCGAGCCTCCAACTGACTGGGAATCCCAGCCTGACCTCAGAATTGTGATCTTTCTACCTCAGCCTCCCAAGTGCTGGGATTACAGGTGTTTTTATACCTTCTGGATTAATTTTTATTTTTCGTAGTCTGAAATTCACAATTTGAGAGTTCTTAATTTGTTCTTTAGAAATTCCTGCTTGGTTTTCGATACTCTAAAACAAGCAAAAAGCATGAAAATGTGTACTTGCACGAATCCGATGAGAAAAGAACCATTAACAAGCTTCATGAAAAAATATGTGATCAGGCAAACTATTCAGGACACATGTACATAACGTACGCGAGAGTGCTCCTGCGCGCACGCACAACACACACACACACACACGCACGCACGCACACACGCACACACAAACACATAAAGATGTGTGTATTTTACATTGAGATTTTGTGGACATACTGATCAAGGAAATTCAAAATTTTTCTGATAATTGGTAGCATACAGAAACACTCAGGGACAAAGAATGTATTCTTCATGGGCCATGCTTCTTCCTGTGTCTGCCCAGAATTCCCTCACCTTCCTCAGTCGTGGTACTTTACCATCCCACCACTTTCTTGTGATAAACGTCCACAACAGCTATTGTAGTAGCATCTCATACTCATCTCTGCATTCAGAGCAATGAATTTTGAAGGCAAAATGTGCCTTGTTCCAATTATAGTCTTATTTATTTTTGGATACCTACTGCAGACCAAAATGTCAATATTCATTAAACATTTCTTGACAGTTTAAGAAGAAAATAAGAGGCAAGAGAATCAGAAAATGATATACAACAAAAGAGAAAAGGAAGTTTAAAATGCACTAACGAACAAAGAAATACAAATGGACTTAATTAGAGAGACACAGTTTGGAATCCTGAGTCAACCAATCCTGCTAAATATAAATATTAATTCACATTGTGTCTCTACTCTTTGTTTGCCTGTTGATAGTAGGATAAATATATTTGTATGACTGTTGTGAAAATAAAAGTAATTTTCAACTTCCCACAATTGTTACATGATGTAAATACCAATAAAGAAAACTTTAATAAGTTTCTATAAATCTCTCTGAAACACAAAATATATATTTACACTTAAGCTGATTGAGTAAGAACAAGAGAAATAAGGAAAAATACAAAAAATAATGATCATCTGATGAAATATGGAGAAAAAAGAAAGGAAAGGGAGGAAAAATCCATTATCAACAAAAGAATTTATGGTAAATTCACTTTCCTGTTTTGTGAGACTTGTTGTCTTTTCAATTTATTAATCCATTTGCTTAAAGTATACATAAGTACAACAAAAATGTTTGTTTATCGAGTTTGACTCTTAAATCCATTTCACTATTCAAATAATTGCTTAATGAAGCCCATCTCTCTAGGCAGGACTAGAAGATATTAACGAAATCAACATTTAAACCAAGCACAAGAAGTGCATATGGACAGAGAGGGAGAGGACAAAAAAGAGGAAGATGGGGTGGTAAGAAAAGAGGAAGAAAGGTATAACAGGAAAAAAGGACAACAAAATGGAGAAACATAGAAAAGAAATGATAAAAGGATGAGAAACATGAACATAGTGTAATATAAGGAAGTATTTTTAAAGAACATCATATAATATTTCAAATTAATTTTGTCAAGAGAAGTAAGGACACTTGCTGACTGTGGTATTTAGTAGGTATCAGAGAAAGATACTGGCAAGTGAATGAAACGGATTTTTGTTCCACACAAACTACTAAAGAGAAAGGGTTCATTTTTGTACAACTCAACATTGAGACTTACATGAGTTGGGTTCCCACAGATGCAAAAGCACTTGCTGTAGACTGCCAGAATTTGCTGCGGCATGAACTGTGCATGACTGGCAAAATAGTTATATCAGTTTAATGTAATAAAAAATGAGAGAGGAAAACACAGACAGACAGACAGACAGACAGACAGACAGACGGAGACAGACAAAAGACATAGACAAGGACAAAAAGAGACAGAGTGATACAAAGAGAAAAATGAGTGTTTTGAGAAAGCCAAACCCTGAAGTAATATAAAAGGAAGAAATTTTGCATTGCTTACCCAGCTTACCCCATCCCACTTGTTCAGGAGCTCTCAGCCTGTACTGCACTTATGTGGACAAGAAACTTCACCAAATTGCACATGCATTAGCATTCTGTATGAATAGAATTTGGATTTGCAGAAAGAAGGATGCCTTCAGCTGCAAGAACAAATTTCATTTCCTATGAGACTCAGTTTTCATAATCTTTTGCATAGGAATTCAGCTGATATAGACTCATGAACTAAGCAGACATTTGTACAGCAAATCTAGATACCAAATACTAGCAGTTGTGCTTGCTTTGGCAGCACAAATACTAAAATTGGAATGATACAGAGAACATTAGTAAGGTCCCTGCTAAAGGATAAGATGCAAATTCATGAAGCATACCATATTTTAAAAAATAAAAAAAAAATACTAGCAGTTGTTCAAAGGATCCCTGGATAACATATTTTCTGAAACTAATTCCTTCAATGTTTGCTTTTTGCTTGATTTTTTTTCTGCATTTTCCAATTCAATGCCCAATATACTGGTCCCTAGAACTCAGGCTTTATTCTAAAACCACTGTGTAACCCAGGTCTAGCTCCTGAAAATGTCTAGGAGAACATCTGCCTTTGAGATTTGTTCTGCCCAGAGTACTTTAAAGCAACTTTGAGAGTTCATTTGATTCTCACAGGTGAATATTCAACTTTTATGCAAACAAGGGACTTCCTTCTGAAGTATATACTCCAAGAAGGAGCAATTATTGCAGTACTCTTTGCCAAGATGTCAATCAAACATTTCTCTCATCATCTAATTATGTCCGAATTCTCTGTAAAGGTTTAGGAATATATGTGAGAAATCCAATATATAAATAAACAGAAAACAAAAACATGGGTAAGAGGAACTAAAGTGATAAATCTTTTGCAAGGGAAAGGGCACCAAGAGATGGAGGATCAGGAGATGGGGGGAGAAAAAGAAAAAAGAACAAAATATGTTATGTACATGACCCAACTTCCCAGGAGAAATGTGAGTGATCTTTTGTACTACATACATGTAAAGATAAAAAATTAAAATGGAAGAAAATAAAGCAGGGGCTGGGGAGATGGCTCAGTGGAATAAACGCTTCCCTGGCAAGTGCAAGGGTCTGAGTTCAAACCCTGGTTATACGAAAAAAAAAAAAAAGAAAGAAAGAAAGAAAAAAAAAAAGAAAAGAAAAGAAAGGACCTAAAAAAATCACTAATTAAGAGCTAAATCTCATCCTCAAGGCTGAGATAATTATTAGGCAACAGTCAGAAGTTGAAAGAATACTTTTCATTAACAAAATTTATTTATCTGAAATACACCAGGCATGGAGTTGTTCAACAAGAACAATTAATTATTCAATACCATAAGCCAAACAATAGATTAAATGAGTTATGTGCATTTTCCTGGGTAATAGTTACAATTTGTCCCATTTCACAGACTGAGTCATGAGAGGTTTGATTCATTTACCTAGTTTTAAAATACTTAAGGGGCAGAACAAATATTTAAATAGTTAATTTAAACCTGCCACGAAAGCCCGCAGCAAATGTTCTTATAATGCAAAACTTCAACCCCAAAAGGACAGAGGTGAGCCCCATTTAAAAAGAAAATGCTGTATGCTGCATGTATCCATGGACAGTCAGGGGGGAAGGAAGGGTACAGGAAGATTTTCTTAGGGAGGTGATGTGGAACATGACATGAGACAAATGGGTGGTACTTGGAGAGGCCAGGTTTGAATTCACCTTGACTGCAACAACTGGTGAAAGTGCATAAGCTATTATTTTAACTTTATTCAGCAAAATTTTCTCATATTAAACATGGAATTAATTTGTACTGCATTTTTCCAATGCTTAATTAAATTTTTAGGGAGAAATCAATAAGAAGCATCAATGTTCTACTGACATGACAAGGCCCACATTTGGAAAACTTAGTGAAATTTCCACAGTAAGTTAAAGACTCCATTTTGAAGCAACTGAAGACATTTAACTTCTCAGATATTCTTCATGTACTGTTTCCTACCATAGGACAACTTCCCTAACCATCCTTTTTTTTCTAACTTTATTTATTTTTCATTAGTACATATTTGTAGCAATGTGGAGCTGGTACATGTACATAACTCATCTTAATTTTTTCAATATTGATATAGAGTTCAAATTTTAATCATGTGATAAATGCCATAATTTAATTTTCATAGTAACTTTGCTTTTTTCCATAATTTTAATGAGAAACAAATAGCAATCAGACAGTTTCAAACAAAATTAGTAGGACAGTTTCAATAATTAACACATTGCATACATTCTTCCTAGTGGTTAACTACTGTACAAGATGCAGACATGATATCCTATTTACAAACACTATTAGAACAAATCCCTCTATGCATTAAGAGAATGTAGCTATATATCTATCCTAACCCCTTTGAATACACAGATACAAAATGGACATTCATCTGTATCCCCTTTGTTTGTTCAGTTCCGTTATTTGAATATTATAGGTGTGTTAACTCATCAAAATAGTCTAAAAGAGTCCTATAGTCCATAATAGTATTGGGTCTTCCGCTTCACTGGCAATGTCAGAAATTGTGGACCTGAGCCCCTACAGCTCAACATAACAGCATGGCTTTACTTCTTATGCTTCATTTTTATACTTTTCTGATGGATGGTTAAGACCAATATAAAGCAAGACCTATGCAACAAGAGTTGTAGCTTTAGGCTCTGATAAGGTCAATAAAATCCCCTCAGGATTTATCTTGAAATGCTGACAAAGGATCTACAATCTGAGGTACAGGATCACTAACCATCCTGTTTCCCTGGTAATATTTGCTCTATAGGTAGCTAGGATGGAGTTTTGAAGTCCCTTCTTTAAAATCAGACAGCAAGCCCACTGGGACTTCACATGTGTTATCTATTGCTAGAAGTTTGGAAAGTTTCCACAATTTGAGCAGCAAGGAAAAGCTTCTATGAAGACTCTGGTTCACACCCCAGGTGTGTACATATCTTGTAGGAATGTAAAATAAAGAGATGAACACAGAGTGGATTCATTTCTATGTCACATGACCATCTCAGAATTTCAATTTATCAAAATTAATGGAATGCTGCTGAGGAGAAGGAACCTTTCTACACTGTTGGTGAAATACAAACTGGTCTGACCACAATGGAAATCAGTATGATATTCCTCAAGAAACTAAAACCAGAAACCTATTCAGCTATTCCCCTACTTGGTATCTTCCTGAAAGAGTAAATTACATCATTCTACGGTGACTCCTGCATAACCATGTTCATAGCCTTCCAACTCACGATAACTAGATCTTGGAAGAAGTCCAAATTTTCATCCACAGATGAGTAAATGAAGAACATATGGTAGTGGATTGAAGTGCCTGCTTAGGCAGATACAGCAGCTGGGGTTCAAGCCCCAGCATGCTGTGCCAGTCCCACCCTCAGAGCATACTGAGATAGCGATTGAGACCTGATGTGTTCGCTCGTGCCTGGAACTTCGGCTCTTGGGAGGCTGAACAAGGCATATAGGCATATCACTAGAAGTCTGATCTATGTAGTGAGACGTTCAGACCCTGTAGACACTTACTAAAATAAAAAATACAGTATTTACACACAGTGAAGTACTCTTCTGTCCTAAAGAAATATAAACTTGAGTCACTTGAAGGAAAATGGATGCACCTTGAGGTTATAATGGTAAGTGTAATAAATCAGATGAATAAACCTGAATAACACATGATTTCTCTGATATGAGAAACCCAACTTATAAATAAAGAACATAGATATGGAAACTGGAAATAAGGAAATATATTTTAAAAAGAAGAAAATCAAGAGATGGAGAGAGGAAGACGGTAGACAAAGGAAAGGAGATAAAAAATGAATGAACACAAGCTGTGTACCTGTGCCAACTCCACACAGGACTGTAAGTCTTATGCACTGCAAAGATGCAATAATAGATGGGTTTACTTTACATTTATATAATTACTGATAAACAATTATCAGTAGATGTATTTATTCACCACTATGCTAGGAATTTTGTTGTGACAAAATTTCTGAGAAAAAATTTTACAGAATTAATTTTATTACTTCTATTTTTAAAGAAAATTCAAAATAATAACTATAAAAAACATTGGCAACAATACAGAATTTCACCACACAAAATATACCAATAGAACAATGTATTTTTATTACATAGTGTTGTGCTCAAATTAGTTGTTCAGATTATTAGACATATGCATTAAAATTGGAGGGAAATTTATAAAAAATTAAAAAGAACAAATTAATTTTAAACATTAGCTGCTCATTTCAATAGACCAGCACAAGTCAGCAGTAAAATTATCCAAGTCATCTTGCATACATAGATAAATACATATCTGTTCTTCTCCCTCCATCTCCTGTCCATTTCCTCAATCTAGTTTTTTTATCCCTTTAAACAGATTCTTTACACTTTCACAAGATTTATTGCACATTTTAGATTTTATTTAGTTTTAGCTTCTTACAGTAGTGACACAATACTATATTTGCACATGTAGTTGGATTTATTTCACTTGACTATGATCTCTAGTTACATCCACTCATTAATAAAATTCTCAAATTTTTTTAAAGCTGAGTAAGACCCTATTATGTAGAAATACCACATCTCCTTTATCCTTTCCTAAGTGGATGGACATTTGAGTTGCTTCCAAGCCTTAGCTATGTCCAATTACACTGCTACAAGCAAGGATTCACATATGCTGTGATGTGATGTTTTCAGGTCACTTGGGAAAATACCGAGGACAGAGTAGGTGCACTGAATGGGAGCTCCAGTGCTATCTTTTTGAGAAATCTCCACATTGATTTCCATAGTGGTTGTACCAGGGTACATTCCAAAAAGGAGAGAACGCTTATTTTCAACACAGGTCCTCAAGCATTTGTTATTGATTGACTTCTTGATGATGACCATTCTTTGTGGGGTGAAATAAAATTTCAGTGTTTACTTGCATTTCTTCAGTGAACAGTGATATAGAACTTTTTATGTTTTTATTTGCAATTTGTATTTCTTCATCTGAGAAATGTATATTCTTAGATGTCCATTTTTGGATTTCGTTTTTAAATTTGGGATTCCAAATTATTTTCATTTTTTATATGGTCTACATAGAAGTGCGGGTGAGCGCTGCAGATGATTGGGGGCTGTGGTGTAGCAGGAGAGCAGACTCAATCATGCAGAACACTGGGGCCCTGCTCCTCTCTCCAGCGTTGATCCGCTGTTTTACCCAATGTCGGATCAGGCAGGCCTCTGCCTCTTTCCTGACTCGGCCTCAGGACACATCTAAACTACCCTCCTGCAGCACGCCTCAACTCCAAGTGGCCACAAGGGACTTCCAGACCACAGAGATCTCCCAGGACGTTGACACAGCGGCCAAGTTT